ACAATTTTAGGATTTCTCTTGCATTTTAACAAATTTTCGCTTAACGAGGCACAGTCGAACCTACGTGCGACCACCCAACTTAAGTGACCTCTTCCCAATAAGCGATCACTTATTCAAAACATGCACCAAATATATTATCAAGTCAAGCGCTTGTAGTTGGAACCTCCTGTAAACGAACACATCCACATCCAATAAGCGACCGCGACCACTTTTTACGATGACAGTCTGATTGAGAATTTTCCATGGTGCGATGGTCTGATCTCTGCGTTCCCTGTATGTCCTAAGCTACTCGGAGTATGAGAGGAACTTTAGAAACAAATTAGATTTATTCACTCCAAAAAGTAGATGTGTCCGCACTTTTCCTCGTTAAAGACCTCCTGCGGTTCGACTCTCGTAAAACCCAAATTTTCCTTGGGCAACCCCATGGGCATTATTTACTGGGTGCCTTCCGACCACGCACGGACCGGAACATCAAATGTCTGTAACTTAATTGTTGTGTCTGTCCATAATTCAACATCTGCCTGCCTCAGCACAGCACACGGCTTGGCACTAAACTGGTTTTGGTGCCCAAGAGTACGCAAAAAGGCCCTTCCGAGATCTAGGACGAGAAAATTGACCTTACCTGGGTAGGGTGAGAAATTTGAAATCGAAGTATTACAGTTGAAGTATCTCTCGGAGGGAATGTGGGAAGGGTGTTAAACATATGGAAGCGGTTGTTTGAGAAAAATATCTAACTCAATGTGAAAGTGTGGTGTATTTTGAATTCTACTTGGAAACATTAGTGCCACAGTTAGGCTTTATAAGACCCCCAACAGACCGTGCGAGATAAAAAAATTCACTGTTTATGACAGTCAAATCTGGTGCCAGCAGGGTAGGGCATTTGTACGCAATTTGGACTCTCCCCCGGGGAGAAGGGACTCCAGTATGAAAAAAAAAAATGGAATTCTTGTCGCAAGCCAATCTGGACGTGTCTCACGCTTTATTTGTCTCTTTGAACTGGTCTGCACTAACATCCGGCTTCACTTCGCTGCTATTTCACGTGCAACTAAAATAGAAAAAATAGTTCTTTCCAAAACACGAAGACAAAACGACTTCTATCTCCGAGTTTGAGAAGACATGGGATCACTTATAATCATGGTCTGAATAAAGTTGCCAATAGATTTGGAATTCTAAATTATTTATCAGCATACAATAACAATAAAATAATCTGAGAGAATGTCGGAAAGTCATTTTGTTCACTGAACTCTGGCTCCTGGCTCCTGGTTCCTGACTCCCGATACGATGTTTCCGTTTGGTGGCAACCGCTGCTTAAAAATGCGGGCTCCATTTAATGTCAAAGATGTCGGACGTTTGCAACATGTGAATTGAGCTACAACAGTGGCAGAAATCGGAATTCTTTCAATGGGTTAAGAATCGGCTTTCTACATTTCGTATTGTTTTGTCCTAAAACAACTTGATTTGGATTTTGGTGCGTAAACTGATGGCTAAGGAATTTTAGTCGTACAGCGAGTCACGACGCTGAACTACGCTGAACTGGACATCGTAGGTGGCATGAAGAACAAATCAAAGCGGGCACAAACTAGCAGTTGAGACATCTAAGAGATACGTATATGGATTTTATTGATCGTTTATATTGTTTTTAGGGCGAAATTGTTAAAGTAAGTAGAACTGTGAATTAAATCTTTGTATGTTGTTTTTACTTGAAAAGATCGCGTGTATCGCTATCAAAAATCATTGTTAGCGTTTCTTGGACAACAATTTTTATGATTTTACCCTTATTAATGTTAAATCATTGTCTGATGAGTTTTTTTGTTCGATTTCTCCTCATTCAAAGGCAAACACACGAATATTGTGAGGGCCTGAATTTTGATGAAATATGCAAGAGCCGTTCAGTCACATGAACAGTTTATGTCAACACATGGAAGAAAGTGAATTGCCCAAACTTTTTATGATCTTTTTCTCAACTTAAGTGATGGCTTTAACTACTCATGCAAAAGTTATAAAGATAAGCGGTTGCTCATCAGAGATATTTGGGAATAAAATACCCTAATTTTACGTCTTACTCAAAACTTGGAAATGATGACCAAACTTAAGGGGGCTAAGAGGGGGGAAATCGAATCGGCGACTTTAAACAGTTTATTGTGCTTAAAGTCTTATGATGTCAGATGATCTCTCAGTGCATTTAAGTTCCAGGTGGCTTTTCTGTTTGTTGCACTGGCATCGTAAAGTTAGCTAATTAATTACGCATAAACGGGCAAAATGGCGATTTTTACAGGGGGAGCCCGGATCTCCCAGGGAATTTAATATTTTGACCTGACATTCTGTCACATAAGCTAACTCCTGATACCTAACATTTGTGCCAAGTTTGAGCGAAATCGGTGATTTGAGCATTACCACCCCCTGCCTGGTTCTGCCTGGTTTTCTCATGGACACACTCTTAATTCCTTCAGAAACCGGTCCAAGGACAGAACCTTGAGGTACACCGCACTTGAGCTCGCGAGACTGTGATCTGCACCCTTCGATTAACGCAAATTGCGAGCGATTAGTAAGGTAGGAGCGAAGCCATTCCAGAGCTATGCCAGAGATAGAGTAGTTAGAGTGCAATCTTGTAAGAAGGATATCGTGATCCACAGTGTCGAAGGCAGCAGACAGGTCTAACAGTAGAAGCATGACACAGTGACGTTTATCAATAGCAACAAAAATGTCATTATGAACGCGCACAAGGGCGGTTTCACAACTGTGGATAGTTTTATCGACAGATTGTAGCGGCTAATTTAGCTGGTTAGCTTCTAAATATTTTTGCAGACCTACTGCAACGACCTTTTCAATAATTTTTGAGATCACCTTGAGGTTTGAAATAGGTCTGTAGGTTGCAAGAAGACGGAAAATGACCGGATTCGAGCGACAAGTTGACAATCTTCAGGATAATTGGTAAAAGTAAATCGAAGTGCTGCTTCAGTAGGGTGACGGGAAGCGGATCCAAAATACAGGATTTCATGATGATATTGTTAGCAATGTTCGACAGCTCGATGTTAGATGGTGGTGCAAAATTTACAAGCTGACAGGTTAGTGGTGAAGTATCTAGGGTTCTGAAGAAATTAGGAATTACAGGTGTACCAAGAATTACTTCTGATATTGACGATTTTCTCCTAAAAAAAGTGGACGAATTTATTGGCGAGATCAAACGCAGAAGAGCTGATTGCGAAAAGTTTTTCTGTTTTCCTGTGAAGAAGACGAGTAATTGTGCGAAACAGGGTTTTGCTGTCACTTTCAGCTGGATAGACAAGGCTAGAATAGTAATCCATTTTTGATTAATCAATGTTTTTTACAACACTGTGTTGGTCGGTATGAGATTGATAGTCGGAAGTGAGTCGGGAACGACGCCATCGCCTTTCAAGCCTACGACTAAGAAAATGAATAAATGCTCAGCCCTAAAGAGCACTTTTAGCTCTAGTATTCCATTGGTTCGCTGGTACTTGTCAATGACAACAGTGTAGCTTTGCTATGCGCTACAAGTTCAGCCACAGGATATGCGGTTAACACAAACATGTCTATAATTTTGCCAATTAAAATTCGTTGCTGACTGGTTTGTGAGTTAGAGAGAAAAAGTTAGAAGTGAGAAGACAGAGAGTAGAAATAGTCGCCGTAACAAAGCAAAAAAGAAGAACAAAGTCAGTCTTAATACATCACGTTAATAAACCTCTTGAGCTTGTATGTCTTGTTTCCCAATAGGGGTCCCAGGGGAACTTGAAACTTTGTCTTTTCATATATTACGCGTAGATATGAACGTGAATAAGACAAGATTTTAAAGAAACAGTTTTCTAGAGCATTATCACTTGACCTGGATTGGGAAAACAAAATATACAAGCTAAAGAGGTCTATTGCTTGGCAAGGCATTTAGTTCGCTAGAAGCGCCCAACAAAGTATACCCTTTCAAAAAATTCCAGGATTTTTCAAAATTCCTTTACAGCCATTACTGAATTCAGTTCTCAAGTAAACAACTGCTGGATAGGCCCTTTCGGAATTATCTCAAACTTATGAATTTGGTAAGCACATACGGATGGGACTGTCGATGAATACCTGGCATAACATCGGGTAGTAAAATGATCTTCAGAGCTTTAAAACCGTTAATAAACAATTTAAATTAACCCAGATCCTCTCCTTCCAAGCGTTTATCCCAATTGACCTTTCCAAAAACAGATCTTGGCAAAGGATCTTCATGTTGATTTTGAAAGGCGTTAATAGCCTAACAGGATCGAAGAATTTGGCGGATAGTTCCAGTACCGATCGTTTGGTAACTGGAGAGACTGGACTATCTCATCTCTCGTTTTCCTCCTGTCTCAAAAGGTCTCGAACGCTGCGTTCACAACAGTTGTGGACCATATCGCTCCTCAGCTTCACAAGTTGCAATTTGGGTTTTTAAAGGGCAAATCCACCACAGCTCAGATACTTCGAGTCCTTCACAACATAGGCGCAAAGCTTGATAAGCGAGTGCAGGTTGATGCTATCTATCTTGACTTCGCTAAAGCTTTTGACCGGGTTAACCACAAACTAATGCGCAAGAAGGTCCACCGATTCGGCATACATGGTACCTTGTCTTGATTCGAAGACTGTCTTACTGACCGCGTCCAAAGGGTCACCGTTCTCGAGGTCAACGCTAAATCTCTGCCTGTGTTATCAGGTGTGCCGCAAGGATCAATACTTGGTCCACTCTTGTTTCTCATATATGTCAGTGATCTTCCTGACGTGGCATCCTCAACATCTGTTGCCCTCCCTGCTGACGACACTAAGTGCTACCAGACAATCGAAAGCACGGAGGATGGTGCCTGCCTACAGCGCGACCTCGACCACATTAACCAATGGTGTGATCTCTGGCAAATGGATCTAAATCAATTCAAGTGCGGGCTACTTCCCCTATCAATTATGCGATGTCCAAGTTAAGACGATGGAAGCTCAGAAGGACCTTGGGGTTTTTGTTACTAAACATCTGAACTGGAACTCTTGGCTTTCTGTGCAGATCAGATTTCGACACTCATGACCAGCGAGCTCGCAGGCCACTTTACCTGTCATTAGTTCGCAGCAGCCTCGCATATTGCTCGCATGTGTGGGCTCCTCAAGCTGTTAATCTTATCCTTGACATCGAAAGAATTCAGCGACGCGCAACAAAAATCATTCTGTCTTTGCCGTATAGGTCTCACGTTAGTTATGAGCAGAGACTTTTACAGAGACAGAAACTACTACTTAGATCTGGTGTACGTATTCAAATTTTTGATGATGTGAAGTATATGAAATAATTCATTTTTGAACTGCGGTTGTAAATGAACGTGAAGAATGATCATCGCAGTAAATTTTCCAATCTAAGCAATTGGAAAGAAGAAGCCTGAAAAAAAAATCAGGGCTTCAACGGGATTCGAACCCGTGACCTCCGCGTTGCCGGTGCGTTGCTCTACCAACTGAGCTATGAAGCCACACATTGGGAGCGAGGTCAATTTGTTGAGCTCATATCTCCCGTGAGGAGTGAAACGATGTGAAGTATATGAAATCAAGTATATGATCGGAGGTCACGGGTTCGAATCCCGTTGAAGCCCTGATTTTTTTCAGGCTTCTTCTTTCCAATTGCTTAAATTGGAAAATTTACTGCAATGATCATTCTTCACTTTCAAATGTTCAAGTAGTCTATCGGATCCTTTTATTTCAGTCATGAATTCCACTAGACCCAGGCGCACTGTCTCCTCCAAGGGTACGCTGTTGAATACGATTCGGCCCAACACCGTCACCTTTGAGAACAGTTTTTACCGTAGAGCCCCAAGAATCTGGAGTACTTTACCAGCCCCCCTCCGCAACACTGACTGTTCAGTAGCGCACTTCAAGAAAGATCTTTTTAACTACTACTTGTATCTCACGAAGTCTATATATGATGTTGACCCCCCCAGTCCTTTAAGAGTGTGTATTAGTGCCACGCTAACCAGCCATTGAACAGCTTGCTCGATCGTATGTGTTGTTGATTTTTTATCGATGTCCTCCACAATTCTCTTTTTGTAGGCACAGCTTCAGCTTTTTCTCTTTTTCTGTGGTTTCTAAAGTATTCTCATTCTTCTTAGTTGTATTACTAATTTTCATTTCTTCTTTTTTCTGGACCTCGTAGTGGAACTTGCTCCGTGAGTGATCCAGGCCTCTTGGCGAAGTTTATAAGTACATAAATAAATAACTAAACGATACTCGTCTTGGATTTCGTGACGTCCCTCTAAATCCCGAGATATTCACAAATTTTTCTGTCTGCAGTTTCGTAGCTACTGCCTTTGAGGAATATACGGTCTCATGATTTTGAAGACTTTCCTTTTCATTGGGGGAAATCCCCATGGTTTCTCGGCGTTTCCTTTCTTTGTCCTTATTTATTCTTTTGCCAAATGACCGACTGTTAGATTTCCACTTGCGCAACGAAAATCCCCCTTCCTTCATGATTTCCTGTTAATTGTCTTGAAGGTTCATGTTATTATTATCATGTAAAACAGCTCTCTTCTTTAGAACATTATGACAGTCTTAGCCAGACATGCTTCGTCACTTACCCCTAACAATTCAAAACATTTGCGAAAAGCACAACTCAAATTCAACGGCCAGTTAAGGAGGCGTGAAAAGTGGCAAGTCGCCAGATCAAAGATCCCATTGCAGTCTTATATAAGATCGACGTGAAGACTTTCACGTTGAGGTAAAGACTGTTAATTCGATGCAAAATTATTAACGGGAGCTTTGCTTTAGCCCTGGCAAAAACTATATAGCATTGCATTAAGGGTTGGGTTGGCAAATTAACTTCAAAAGTCATCGTATTTGTAAAACATATGGCGGACAAAGCCTAAAAAACTTATTTATCTGCAGGTGACACGAGATACCAATGTTCTCTTACTTCGATTTTCGGCGCTTTGAAGCAAATCGGCAACGTTAATTTTCTCTTAAAAGTACTTCTGCTGTCCACATTTATCGCCAATTTGTTTTGTCGCGATCTTTTTGCTAAGAAACTACGGACACCAATCAAATCGATACAAATACGGCAAAATAGGGCTTACTTTTCGCTTAGTGTCCGACTGCGAATTCGCACAAAAAAAACTCGCTTTCCATAGACTTAACGGGAGCTTCGCCAACTTTGGAGTACCGGCAAATGGTCGCTCAAAAGAGGAGCGGAACCCCATATTAAAAACCTATCGATGCCAAACAACTCCCGTACACACTCTGGGGGTTAGGGGTGAAAAACCTCAGTAGGGTAGGGAAGGGAGTCTCAGACATGACACTGCGTTTCGTTTATGGCGCAAAATTAACCATTTTTGGGACAACCAACGGAGTTGCTCGAGTAAAAATCTATATTGGAGACAAGGATTTGCTTTTCGCTTTGGTGACCCTTTTTGGTCGCACTTCAGGAGCAACCTAGTCTCTCTCGCTGTCAAAATTTTGACAGATGAATTTATGCGTGAAAACTTATGCAGCATCTAGAAATTTACCATTAAATAACAAAACAAATAATAATAAATTCGCTATTATGTTGAAGCGTAACTCTGTTAAAGTTCATTCAAACACTCGACCACACTGACAGCTCGCACTATAGAAACGAGAACCAGCTGGCCGTATGGATGATTTTGGAAATTTTCTGAAATTTTTGAACGGTTTGGCTCGTCCTGAATATTGGCTGAGTGCAATTTGTCTTGAAAAATTGTGAAATATCGCATTCTGTCCGAGCTCTGCATGATAAATAGTACTGTTTCACCTCAAATGTGGTGTATAAAAATTATAAAAGGTTGGTTTAAACACCCCCAGATTTGTTGGCAAGAATTTGTAAAGTAAACCTGTCGAACGCAAAAAAATTTGGCGTGATTTGTTTTCCAAGAATTTGTTTTCGAGGCCTAATCTACTGTGGTCTTGAATCTGATCGAAGATGTTTGCTATTTTTTGGGTGTACATATAAGGTTATCAATTCGATGTAAGATGTTTCACTCTAAAATAACTTAGCCTTTCCCTCAAAAGTCACATGAATGTGCCCTTAAGTTAAATGATTTGTGGATTAAAAGTTTATTGTTTGATTTAAATTATAAATTTATTAAAATTGGAGCTTCGCTTTTAGCCCTGGCTAAATCTATATATTATCAAGCGCTTGGTGGCCGCTTAATAGAGGTGACAAAGATGGCACTCTCGTCGGAATGGCTAAAAGGTGTCCGCGGCCACTTAAAGGAGGTGCCTGCTTAATAGAGGTTTCTTTTACAATTCTTTTTTATTACTGTCCATTTAATAGAGGAAGGGCGCTTAATAGGTGGCCGTTTAAAGGAGGTTCTATTGAAGTTCGATCTATGTGTTATGCTGTATGTATAATGACAATCGAACTGGTTAGGTGAAGCAGGCTCAAAGGCGGAAGCTGTGCCTACAAAAATACTGAGTCGAGCTACTAAAAATGAAATTTATAACGTAGTTCTATTACTAGTTCTTAGTTAGAGATAAAACAGGACTCGTTAAAAACTAAACAATTTTTGGATTCGGGAAATCTTACTTTGCACCACCGAATGGCGTTCTGGGAACCATGTCTACCAAGTCATATTAATGAACAACCAAAAAGTTTAAAAAGAAAAAAAAAGGATAAAGCAGAGCTGAATTTTTAGCTTCCGTCTCCTCGCTTAAAAATGTATATATATTAAAATCAATAAATGCTTGGCACCTGTTATTAACGATGAATGAAAGTAATGTAAAACCGGATTTAATTTGCATCAGGAAAAGCATTTTTATCCCCCATTTATAGAGCGTTTTATTAAAAGAAACCTTCTTTAGTTTGAAAGATTCATAGTTTATTTGATGTGCTTGTCTCTATTTTTAAATTCCGAGAGGCCATCAAATACACCAGGCAGGAATTAAAAGTACACTGTGTCATGAGTAGAAGAAAAATCCATGAAAGCAATTAACAGCAAGAAATTGCTTCCTGTTGTTTAGACTTATGCAAACCTACCTGCCATTCCATTCTAGGTATATTTGCGCTTGTGATAATACAGCAATATCATAAATAATACTTACTTTGTAAGAGAGTGCATGGAGAAACATAGTTAGTTCACTACGTGTTGGATCACTGCGTATGATATGACACTCGCTACAATCTTTGTCATGATACTGGTTACAGTTACTATTTTCCTCGCTATCGGATGATAACGTTCCATTGTCTTTCACCTGGCTGGCCATCCGTGTCATAGCACCCGTTTTGTTTCTGTCAAGCTTCTCTGTTAACTCAGACATCACCTTAAAAATAGATTAAAAGAATACTTTGGTACTTGGTTTGGGCTTGTTCGATTCCGTACATCTTATTTTTCTATAAATAATAAAAAGACGCAGGCCTGAATTTTTTCCTGTCATTTTTACAGAGTTTTCACTCACCTGGTCAGCATCTACAAAAGAAAGTTTCTACGTAAGAAAAGAGTCCAACCCCTACAGGATTGATTTGGAACACCAAAATGGCCGCCGTGAAAACACTCCATTATCTATATTAGAAAATCGGTTATGGGATGCAAGTGCCTAGTTGCATAAATCAGATGTAACATTTAAGGGTATACATACAATGAGGGACAAACGTGTTGACATACTTCTGTTAAATGGGCCCTTTTTCGCTTCAAAAACGTTATTGCAAACATTACAAAGTATCACAATCTATTACAAAACAGTGAATAGATCATTAAAAAAATTACTCTACTAGCAACAGTAAAAAAAAAAGAAAAGTAATCTAACTTTACACAAAATAACCATCATGATAATTATATATTTAAAACTTATTGCAAGCACAGGAGAGGTTTCCATCAATTAACTTGCCTTTAAAGTGCTACTACGACGAAAATTTTTGTTTTTGTTTCCCAGTTTTTTTTAACATAAATCTTTTGTATATGTTCAAAATTATACAAATAGCGAAAAATTGGAACAATACTTGCGTACGGGGGCTGGAAATTTCCCACTGAAAAGTGCATAAATACCGTCCGCCATTACAAAGTTCGCAAAGCAATAGCCAGCGAGATCTCCGCAAAGCGGTCGTGCGTTTTACCACGTGATTTATGCACTGTGACGTAGAAACATCAACCAAAAGATTCGCATTTGGGAAAAGTTTGTGAGTTTAGAGCCTTTTAACAAGACGTTTAAGATGTCATCTCCGTCGGATTCCTCTTCCTGCACATCTGAAAGTGATCTAGAAAGTTTTACAGTTGACGAAGTGATGAGGGAATTGTCTGAATTTGCGCCGTACGACGACAGTTGCGAACCCCTTGCTACCGAGGAAGAAGCCGCGGACTACAAAGAAAGAGTTCATCGCGAAGAAGAACTTGAAGAGGAACAACAGTTTCAACGAAGATATTCGGGAGAGGTGCCAGCGAATGAATGGTATGGCATTATCATGGAATGTAGATTTATATTTTTATTTTCCAATTTCAACATACCCGTCGTTAAATCGTGCGCGTGACGAACGCGACTGTGTGTTTTGTTTAAGTTTACAATTTCGTTGCTATGTGATTAGCTGTAGTCCTGATTTTATGCGATAGTTTTCTTGAAGAGGTCAGACAATTAATAATTTTATACAGACGTATTTTTCTTGTGTTTGACGAATTTTTCACATTATTTTGCAGGTGTTCGTGCTCGAACTGCTCTGTCAGCCTTGTTACAAAAGCGCTGGAGTGCATTTGCTGCGAAGAAGATCGATCGCTGCGAAGAGGTCATGGAAAAAGCCATTGGAGGCCGGACCGTATGCATAACCCTCCATCCAGGGTTTGAAGCGTCTGCTTAAACCGCCACGTCTTAGAAGTGGCTGCACTGGGCCTAAAAACGTGAGCTGGAAAGTCGTACACAACTGTTCGTGGGCAAAGCAACAAAAGTGATAATAAGTAAGTTGGGGTATTGTTGACTTTGTATCGGAACGATCGAACCTT